GGGGCGGCGCGCGCCGGCTTCCCCAGCTCCTCCTGCGCGCGGCCCCTGGAGTGCCCAAGGCGCGCGGCCAGCCCAGCTCGGGCCGCTGCACTCGAGCTGCCCCGCGGCCGAGCGAGCGCGGGCCGGGGTCGGGGCCGAGGCGGCGGGTATCGCACCCAGGGTCCTTCTGCAGCCCCCGTAGCGAGGAGCGAGGGCGAAGACGAAGCTAAACGGGGCCGGAACCATGAACCGGAGTTTCCACAAGTCTCAGACCCTGCGCTTCTACGACTGCAGCGCGGTGGAAGTCAAGAGCAAGGTGAGCCGGGGGCCGGCGGTCTGCGCCCCCCACCCCCGCGAATGAATGGGCACCCCGAAGGGGACTGGGAGGTGCGAGACGGGCCGGCGCCAACTTTGGAACGCGGCGCCGTCCGTGGGATGTGCAGGGGTCCCGCGATCCTTCCCGCCCCTGCGCGCGCACAAAGCCCGGCAGCCCGATAGGGTTCAGCTGGAGCCCCGGCGCTCGGAGGGCCGCGCGGCCGCCTGACCCTTCGCGAGAGCGGCTCTTTTGTTCCACAAGCTGGCGGCGACCCGGCGCGCCGCACGGTGGAGGGGCGACATTTCCGGGGCGACCCAGGGGCTGCTCGGATTCGGGGCCGTGGAGGGGCCTCGGGGGCCCGGGCCAGGGGAGGGCCCTGGCCGCGCCGCCTCCTTCATTGCGGAGGAGTCTCGGAATCGGTGAGGGAAGACGGGAGGCCGGTCCCCGATCCCCGGACCGGACCCTCAGCCCCCGGCCTGGCCCTCTGTACCAGTCCCTCAGCCTCCCGGCGCGCCCCAGGCCCAGATTGCCCGGGCGCGCCGGGCCGGCGGCCCCTCCCGCTGCCCGCGCCCCGGCCCCAGCGTGCCCGAACTTGCGGGTTGCTGTGCGCGTTTGGGTAATTGGCTGATAGGATCTGGCGCTTCTGCCCTTTGCGGGGGCGGCTACTTCGCGGCAGACGCTTTTGTCTGCGAGGGTCTCAGTGGTGGACCCCGCGGCAGAGGAGGAGTTGCAGTTGTTCAGGGTCCTGGAGGGAGGGGTCCCGGCTTACCGCTGCCTGGGATCCGGCTCTCGCCCGTTCTCTGCGCGCCCCCCGCCTCGGTAAAGCAAGGCGGAGGCAACTGAGTGGTTGGTGGGAGGGGGCCGGACCCGAGGGTGGGCTCTGACCTCCAACTCTGCGCACGCTTGGGTCGCGGGGCGTGTGTGCCCCGGTCCGGTCTCTGGGAAGACGAACCCGGCGGGCCCCTACCTGGGTTGCCCCTACCGGCCAAGGGGGGTGCTTTGGCGTAGGAGTTCCAGGGCTTCCTCCGAGGATGGGGGATTCTCTGCGGGAACCCCACTGCAGTGAGTTGCGGCATTTCATCACCATCTTGTTGGACAGTCTTTTTAGGAACCCCTCATCTCTAACTACCCCGTGTGCTAATTCTGGGACCCTCGCCCCGCACCCCTCCCCGCTTTTAGCCCCAGAGCGCCCACAGCCCGGGATCAGAAGTGCCCGCTGTGAGTTGCGTGGGGGGAAGAGCCGACAGGCGTGAGTGGGGCCCCAGTAATTTGACGTTTCCTCAACTCAGTGGGAAGGTGGCTTTGTGGAGCTCACTGTCGCCTGCAGTAGCCCTGAGCCCGTGTGGTGTTTCGTTTTAACTGTTTATTTTGAGATCATCACAGATTAACAGGCAGTTGTGGAAAAGAATACAGAGACTTCCCCAAAGGTAACATCTTGTATCGCAATGTCACATCCAGGACCTCATCACACTTGCTCACGGGGTGTTTTTGGGTCACACACTTTTGTTGTGTGCTCATTCCTGAGACCCAGCACGGTCACAACACAGACCACTTCGATCGCAAGGGTACCTCCTGCTGCCCTTTCACGGTGGCAGTTTGGTTCTAAGTGATTAACATCACATGCTGTTCCTGAGTCTCACTGACCACATCCCCTGTGCTCAGTAGCCACAGGCGGTTTGCAGCTGCCTGACCAGATTCAACTCCAGAGGGTCTGTCCAGAGGGACAGCCCTGGAGGAAATGCCCTCACCAGGCCTTATCTTGCAGTTAGTTCTGCACTGTGGACATTGTGAGGACCCCTGGGGACTGGAGAGTAGGCGTCTGCCTTTGCCTCTCCTGGGGAGCTGTGGGCTGTGGGCTGTGGGCGTTTGGGTGGCCCAGCGGGTTGCCTCAGGCTGCCCCACCTTCTTGACTCCCCGGTGAAGAAGGGGCACTGCCCCATGGCCCAAGCCTGGGTTCAAGTTCAGATGCATTGGCTGCTCCACCGGGGGTGAGTGGCAGAGCGCGAGTTTTGGTTGAATTTGGGAGCACCCCTGGCAGGCCACACCAGCCTGGGCCCTGCTGGGCTGGCTGGTTATACACACAGCACCACGACCGACCCCTGCCCTTTTGGAAGAGGGGGCTTGCCTTACTGTTTGTCCAGAGAGTCCACGCGGCTCGTCCATCTGTACACGCCCTCCCACCCACCCACTTGGTAGTGAATACTTGCAGGCATGGAGTCCGTCTGTGCAGGGAGCCTGAGTCCAGCTGCTGATGGCAAAATATGGGAGGCCAGACGTTACGACAGTGACGTCTTTACACCATCTAAAGGTAGCACTGTAACACCTGGGTTTGTATGTGGAGAAAGTGGTGCCCGGGAGCTGAGTCTGGCCAGTTCTGCCACCTACCCTTTGGAGTATTCAGGCAAGTTATTTAACTGTTCTGAGCCTTAGTTATTTCATCTGTAAAATGGTCGTTGTACCTATTCCGCGAGCCCCCCAGGATCGAATGAGGTGATGAATGTGCAGTACATTTAAACTGCAGAGCACCCACAATTGTAAGAGTTAAGCACTGCAGGTCAGGATTCTGTGGCATTTCAGGATATCAGGTCTGAAAATCTGATCCTCTCAGAATTTTTGGCATTAGCCATCTGCCACAGCTGGTCAGTTCCCAAAGCCTCGGAGGCAGAGACATTATCTTGACCTGGTGGGTCTTCCACATGGTATAGCCCCTGGCTCTTCCCCAGCATTTCTGTTTTAATACCTGTGATGCATCTATTTCTCTCCCCACCAGCTGCATTTCTCTGCACTTTGGAGTATAATTGCTTTACAATGCTGTGTTAGTTTCTGCCTTATAACAAAGTGAATCAGCTGTATGTATGCATATATCCCCATATCCCCCTCCCTCTGTGTCTCCCTCCCACCTTCCCTATCCCACCCCTCTAGGTGCACGCACTTCTGACTCCCCAGTTCTGGTTCATGGGGCCGCCATTTCACACTCACTCTTTTTCCTGTCTCCCTGTAAGACCTGCAGTGGGGAGGGGCTGTGCAGCTGTCTGCGGGAGCATGTTTCAGGCCGAGGGGAGCAAGTCTTGGCCCATCAGAGGGGCAGCAGGAAGGCCAGTGCTGGGGGAGGGGTCTGCAGGGGCAGAGTAATTGGGGATGACTTGTTTGAGGAGAAGGCAGAAGGCTGCCCGGGGCCATTGTGAGCCACAGGCCTGAAAAGCCTAGAGGAGCTTGCTGTTCACTGAGCCCTCACCCTCTGGCTGGAGGCCCCTTTGTTAAATGAGGCCCATGTTGTCCCGGTTTCCTTACCCCTCAGGCCTCATCCGTGTTCTCTTCAGACTCTGGGCCCCGTTTATGTGGCTTTCCCCCAACCTGAAATGTTTTCTCGAAGAATCTGCCCTATCCTGACCACCCTCTCCTACAAGGCCCACCTGATGTCTTCACCAGCCCAAGCCTTCTGCATCCTCTGACCCCTTCCCCGTGTTTCTCTCATCTTATGGCCTTTGTCACGGTGCTGGTGACAGGAACCCAGGACTGTGTTTACACCCCCATGGCTTGTTGTGTTCATTGTGTGAGGGGAGAGTAACACCTCTAAAGGTTTTAATCCAGTTTTGGCTGCTTGGTTTAGATAATGTTGGAGACTTTTCTGCATTCTAAACAAATACGTTATCATTGTAGAAAATGTAGAAACCATAACAGGCACAAGGGGGTAATTCTCACATCCAAAGTGTGGTCGCATGTCCTTCTGACCCTTTATATATGCATGTATACATGCAGATGTCTTTGTTTTACAGAATCAGAGTCATATTTTACAGGTATATTATTCTGTAGCCTTCAAGTTTCCGCCTTGAACTTAACAGTGAAGTGTTAAGTGTTTTCTCATGTCATTAATAATTTTAGAAAACATATTTTTGAAATGACTATGTAGTATTCCATCTTATGTGTAAACCATAATTAATCTAACTAATATCCTATTGGGTTATTTCCAGTTTTGTCCTAGAATAAACAATGCTGTGAATAACAACTTTGCATTTAAACCTTTATGTAAAGAGTACATATAGAATGTATATCATAAAAAGTATACAAAGAATACTGATTCCCTTAATTCAATGCAGAACTTTTATTATTTCTGTAGGACAGATTCCTAGAAGTGAAATTACTAAGTGAAAAGTATGCACATTTTTAAGGCTTTGAGTACATATTGCTGAATTTCCTTCCAGAAAGTCTCTTCTATACATGTGTACCTTGTTGCATGTCTAGCCTTCTCTCTCCCTCCAGTCCTGGGTATTTTCTTATTCTATCCCATTTAGATAGTGAAACACTACCCCATTTAATTTGTATTCTTGGGTTATTAGTGAATAGAAAATTCTTAAATTTGTTAGCTATTTGTATGTCTATTTTTAGCTGCCTGTTTCTTTCCACCCTTCTTTTTTTTTTTGATTAGTCTTCTTATTTTCTACTGAGTGATGGAGCTGCTTGTCCCAGGAGATTTTCCAATCAGTGCAGATGGTGCTAGGTGACAGTGTTCCCTGTGGTCCCAGATCTTGTCTCTGCTGAGGTTGTCGGCTGCCTGGCCATGCCCTTGCATCTGGGGGCTGGAGCCTGGGCCAGGCCCTCCCCATGGGGTGGCTGGGCACTTGCCTCCTGTGGGCCAGTTGAGAACCGCCTGACACAGTTTGACTCACCTGTGTGTTTGGCTACACCCTTTTAAGATTCCGGTTTTGTTGTATCCGTGCATGTCTGTGTTTAAACAGGTTCGGTAACTTGATTTGGGAAGTTGCATCTAGAGGAGACTCTCATCAGGGACCCAGGTGGAGAGTCAGTCTGGTGGGCATGGATGGTGTTGCGGCCCACCTCCTGTGGGTCTGTGACCCGTGAGCAGCAGAAAGCCCTGTGGGCCTTCCTAGGGGCACCCCAGTTGGCAGGGGTTCAAGCCCTTTCCTAGGACCCATGACATTTCAGATAGAGGGCTCTTCCAACTTTAGGGAAGGAAAGGAGTGTCAGGGCCTGGGAGATGC